ATATATCAATAACAACACTGCGACTAGCCGAGGATTCGAACCCATGTTGTTTTGGCCCCGCCTCGTGGTTAGCAAAAATCACATGATGCTTTAACCCACTGGACCACACAATCCTACAAGAATTAAGCACCCAGCAGAGCTAGCCGCAGTTAGTTGGCTAGTCGCTGTCTTGTTATTGATTCAATACCACTCGTTTGTGGTCACATTTATATAAATACTGATTGTTAAGTCTAGTACACCAAACAGGGATTAAAATGAAATTAACTCAGAGGCACCCACGCCACCGTATGTCCTTGGATCAAGGTAAAACACCTAGCTCTGCTGGGTGCTTGATTCTTGTAGGATTGCGTGGTCCAGTGGGTTTTAGCATCATGTGATTTTCGCTCACCACGAGGCAGGGCCAAAACGACATGGGTTCGAATCCTCGGCTAGTCGCAGTGTTGTAATTGATATATGATAATAATAATAATAATAATAATAATAAAATTAATATTATTATTAATAATAATAATAATAATAATAATAATAATAATAATAATAATAATAATAATAATGACAATACTAATAAAACAAGAAAAATGTACACAATGACGGATTGTGGTTGTATGAATAAGGATAATTGATTGTGGATAATTGATTGTGGATAATTGATTGTGGATAATTGATTGTGGATAATTGATTGTGGATAATTGATTGTAGATAATTGATTGTGGAAAATTGGTTGTGGATAATTGATTGTGGATAATTGATTGTGAATAATTGATTGTGAATAATTGATTGTGAATAATTGATTGTGAATAATTGATTGTGGATAATTGATTGTGGATAATTGATTGTGGATAATTGATTGTGGATAATTGATTGTGGAAAATTGATTGTGGATAATTGATTGTGGATAATTGATTGTGAATAATTGATTGTGAATAATTGATTGTGAATAATTGATTGTGAATAATTGATTGTGAATAATTGATTGTGGATAATTTATTGTGAATAATTGATTGTGGATAATTGATTGTGGATAATTGATTGTGGATAATTGATTGTGAATAATTGATTGTGAATAATTGATTGTGGATAATTGATTGTGGATAATTGATTGTGGATAATTGATTGTGGATAATTGATTGTGAATAATTGACTGTGAATAATTGATTGTGAATAATTGATTGTGGATAATTGATTGTGGATAATTGATTGTGGATAATTGATTGTGAATAATTGATTGTGGATAATTGATTGTGGATAATTGATTGTGGATAATTGATTGTGGATAATTGATTGTGAATAATTGACTGTGGATAATTGGTTGTGGATAATTGACTGTGGATAATTGATTGTGGATAATTGATTGTGAATAATTGACTGAATAATTGATTGTGAATAATTGATTGTGGATAATTGATTGTGGATAATTGATTGTGGATAATTGATTGTGGATAATTGATTGTGGATTATTGATTGTGATAATTGATTGTGGATAATTGATTGTGGATAATTGATTGTGGATAATTGATTGTGGATAATTGATTGTGGATAATTGATTGTGGATAATTGATTGTGAATAATTGATTGTGGATAATTGATTGTGGATAATTGATTGTGAATAATTGATTGTGAATAATTGACTGTGAATAATTGATTGTGAATAATTGATTGTGGATAATTGATTGTGAATAATTGATTGTGGATAATTGATTGTGAATAATTGATTGTGGATAATTGATTGTGGATAATTGATTGTGGATAATTGATTGTGGATAATTGATTGTGAATAATTGATTGTGAATAATTGATTGTGAAAATTTGACTGTGGAATTGATTGTGGATAATTGATTGTGGATAATTGATTGTGAATAATTGATTGTGAATAATTGATTGTGATTATTGATTGTGGATAAATATTGATTGTGGATAAATTATTGTGGATAATTGATTGTAGATAATTGATTGTGAATAATTGATTGTGATAAGTTGATTGTGAATAATTGATTGTGGATAATTGATTGTGGATAATTGATTGTGGATAATTGATTGTGGATAATTGATGTGAATAATTGATTGTGAATAATTGATTGTGGATAATTGATTGTGGATAATTGATTGTGATAATGATTGTGGATAATTGATTGTGAATAATTGACGTGAATAATGATTGTGAATAATGATTGTGGATAATTGATGTGGATAATTGATGTGGATAATTGATTGTGAATAATTGATTGTGGATAATTGATTGTGAATAATTGATTGTGGATAATTGATTGTGGATAATTGATTGTGGATAATTGATTGTGGATAATTGATTGTGGATAATTGATTGTGGATAATTGATTGTGGATAATTGTATGTGATAATTGATGAATAATTATTAGTGAATAATTGTTGTGGACTATTGATTGTGGATAAAGATTGTGGATAATTGATTGTGATATTGATTCGGTGAAATATGATTGTGGCCAGAAATTGTTGTGGAAATTGACTTGAGGATAATGATTGGTAGATGATTGGAAATTGATTGTGGATAATTGTATGTGGTCCAGTTTAGGTGAATTACTTGTTGTTTATGTGACATCTGGAGGTGTAGGTCAGGGCTCTTAACACGAACCTTCGCCGTTTTAACCCACTTTTGTACTGTCTTCATTAGTTCTCGTGTATGCAAATTATTCTGTGTGGGGCCCGAGAGATGTCTTGCCCTTGTGGTAGGCCAAGTTTTGATCCAGAGGAAGATTTAAGCGATGGATTCACGGGTTAAAGAAGGATTCAATCCTAAGCTGACTCTTTAGATGCTACTGTTGTTCCCTGTTATGCAGTCTGTTGATGCGTCTGTTGTTCTTGTTAAGCAGCCTGTCAGTACCTGGTGAGTAAGACAAATGTGCAACACTTGGGTATCTTTATTGTGGAAACGTTTCGCCCTCTCAGCAGGCTTCTTCAGTCGAATATAGGTGATTATTACACTTTCAGTTATGCTTTTGTTTCCTCCAGTATTCATTGAACTTCATTTTTTTACTCATTATTTAAGGTATTAAAGTATTCTTGACTGGTGGTGTACAGGTGACATGCAGCCTTAATGACCCTCGTGTAGTAGATAGACTTTAAACCCCATTAACCAACCAACCAGCCTTAATGACCCTCGTGTAGTAGATAGACTTTAAACCTCATTAACCAACTAACCAGCCTTAATGACCCTCGTGTAGTAGATAGACTTTAAACCCCATTAACCAACCAACCAGCCTTAATGACCCTCGTTTAGTAGATAGACTTTAAAAACCTCTTTAAACCAACCAACCAGCCTTAATGACCCTCGTGTAGTAGATAGACTTTAAAACCCCATTAACCAACCTACCAGCCTTAATGACCCTCGTGTAGTAGATAGACTTTAAACCCCATTAACCAACCTACCAGCCTTAATGACCCTCGTGTAGTAGATAGACTTTAAACCCCATTAACCAACCAACCAGCCTTAATGACCCTCGTGTAGTAGATAGACTTTAAACCCCATTAACCAACCAACCAGCCTTAATGACCCTCGTGTAGTAGATAGACTTTAAACCCCATTAACCAACCAACCAGTCTTAATGACCCTCGTGTAGTAGATAGACTTTAAACCCCATTAACCAACCAACCAGCCTTAATGACCCTCGTGTAGTAGATAGATTTTAAAACCCCCATTAACCAACCAACCAGCCTTAATGACCCTCGTGTAGTAGATTGCCCTTTAAAAACCCCTTTAAACCAACCAACCAGCCTTAAATTTGACCCTCGTGAAAGTAGATAGACTTTAAACCCCATTAACCAACCAACCAGCCTTAATGCCCCTCGTGTAGTAGATAGACTTGAAACCCCATTAACCAACCAACCAGTCTTAATGACCCTCGTGTAGTAGATAGACTTTAAACCCCTTTAAAACCAACCAACCAGCCTTAATGACCCTCGTGTAGTAGATAGACCTTTAAACCCCTTTAACCAACCTACCAGCCTTAATGCCCCTCGTGTAGTAGATAGATTAAAAACCCCATTAACCAACCAACCAGCCTTAATGACCCTCGTGTAGTAGATAGACTTTAAACCCCATTAACCAACCAACCAGCCTTAATGACCCTCGTGTAGTAGATAGACTTTAAATCTCATTAACCAACCAACCACCCTTTAAATGACCTTCGTGTGTAGATAGACTTTAAACCCCATTAACCAACCCAAACCACCCTTAATGACCCTCGGTAGTAGATAGACTTTAAATCTCATTAACCAACCAACCAGCCTTAATGACCTTCGTGTAGTAGATAGACTTTAAACCCCATTAACTAACCAATCAGCCTTAATGACCCTCGTGTAGTAGATAGACTTTAAACCCCATTAACCAACCAACCAGCCTTAATGACCCTCGTGTAGTAGATAGACTTTAAACCCCATTAACCAACCAACCAGCCTTAATGACCCTCGTGTAGTAGATAGACTTTAAATCTCATTAACCAACCAACCAGCCTTAATGACCTTCGTGTAGTAGATAGATTTTAACCCATTAACAAACCCAATCAGCCTTAATGACCCTCGTGTAGTAGATAGACTTTAAATCTCATTAACCAACCAACCAGCCTTAATGACCTTCGTGTAGTAGATAGACTTTAAACCCCATTAACCAACCAACCAGCCTTAATGACCCTCGTGTAGTAGATAGACTTTAAATTTTCATTAACCAACCAACCGCCTAATGACCTTCGTGTAGTAGATAGACTTTAAACCCCATTAACTAACCAATCAGCCTTAATGACCCTCGTGTAGTAGATAGACTTTAAACCCCATTAACCAACCAACCAGCCTTAATGACCCTCGTGTAGTAGATAGACTTTAAACCCCATTAACTAACCAATCACCCTTTAATGACCCCGTGTAGTAGATAGACTTTAAACCCCTTTAAACCCACAACCAACCAGCCTTAATGACCCTCGTGTAGTAGATAGACTTTAAACCCCATTAACCAACCAACCAGCCTCAATGACCCTCGTGTAGTAGAAAGACTATAAACCCCATTAACCAACCAACCAGCCTTAATGACCCTCGTGTAGTAGATAGACTTTAAACCCCATTAACTAACCAATCAGCCTTAATGACCCTCGTGTAGTAGATAGACTTTAAACCCCATTAACCAACCAACCAGCCTTAATGACCCTCGTGTAGTAGATAGACTTTAAACTCCATTAACCAACCAACCAGCCTTAATGACCCTCGTGTAGTAGATAGACTTTAAACCCCATTAACCAACCAACCAGCCTTAATGACCCTCGTGTAGTAGATAGACTTTAAACCCCATTAACCAACCAACCAGCCTTAATGACCCTCGTGTAGTAGATAGACTTGAAACCTAACAAACTATACAAACAATTTATATAACACATCACTCCTTCTACGCAAGATGTATATTAAATTTTGCTGACAAGAACTGCCAGAGTCTAAGAACAGCCATGTTGATGACACGGACAGCAGGGAGCTGACACCTGGGGTAGGTGCTAGCACATTTCTCCCGGGGCGAAATGAGCCCAGCACCAGCTGCGGACACATAGCGAAACATCAGGCAGTCAGTAGTCGTATTGACTGGTCCTTTCGTCAGCCTGTAAGGATACAATAATGTATTAGTCTGTAGTGAATTGTGTATAAGTCACTGGTATTAGGTGTAATTCACAGGAATTTTGTGTAAGTCACTGATATTGTGTAATTGTTTAATTAATCAAAATATTTTACTGTGTGTATTGTGTATTGATATTGAGTATTTTTTTACTATCTTGTGAAATTATCGGGTCACAATGGGATGACCTATGGTGGGTCAGTGTACGAAGATAGGTCACGTGACCTCGCGCACATGACCTTAAGTGCTGGAACAATGACTTCAAGAAGAGGGCAGTGATAACGTCAGGTTTGCACTGGCCTCTGGTATTGTTCAAATTCTGATTGGGTCTCTGTATCCACTGCAGTGTTGTCTGAGTTCCCTTGTGAAGATCAGAGGTGAGTGGTAGTGCTACCTGATTTCCTCTAGGATGATCTGACTGATGGTTCAAGACTGACAGTACCTGATTTCCTTCATGAAGATCTGACTGATGGGGAAGAAAGTGTCAGGATCAGCTGTCAGCTCACAAATCAGTCGCTCCTGACACGACAGCACCGGCAGCTGTCAGGAAGTAACAAAGAAAGACTTACTTAGAGTAACATATTCCTCAGTGTATATACACTGTGAGGTGTATGTCTCTCAGTGTATATACACTGAGAGGTGTATGTCTCTCAGTGTATATACACTGTGAGGTGTATGTCTCTCAGTGTATATACACTGTGAGGTGTATGTCTCTCAGTGTATATACACTGTGAGGTTAAAAGTCTCCCCCAGTGTATATACACTGTGAGGTGTATGTCTCTCAGTGTATATACACTGTGAGGTGCATGTCTCTCAGTGTATATACACTGGAGTGAAAGTCCTCAGTGTATATACACTGTGAGGTGTATGTCTCCAGTGTATATACCTGTGAGGTGGGATTCTCTCAGTGTATATACACTGTGAGGTGTATGTCTCTCAGTGTATATACACTGTGAGGGGTATGTCCCTCTCAGTGTATATACACTGTGAGGTGTATGTCTCTCAGTGTATAAACACTGTGAGGTGTATGTCTCTCAGTGTTATACACTGTGAGGTGTAGTTTTCTCAGTGTATATACACTGTGAGGTGTATGTCTCTCAGTGTATATACACTGAGAGGGGAATGTCTCTCAGTGTATAAAACACTGTGAGGGTATGTCTCTCATTTTATATACACTGTGAGGTGTATGTCTCTCAGTGTATATACACTGTGAGGTGTATGTCTCTCAGTGTATATACACTGTGAGGTGTATTCTCTCAGGTAATACACTGAAGGTGTATGTCTCTCAGTGTATATACACTGTGAGGTGTATGTCTCTCAGTGTATATACACTGTGAGGTGTATGTCTCTCAGTGTATATACACTGTGAGGTGTATGTCTCTCAGTGTATATACACTGTGAGGTGTATGTCTCTCAGTGTATATACACTGAGAGGTGTATGTCTCTCAGTGTATATACACTGTGAGGTGTATGTCTCTCAGTGTATATACACTGTGAGGTGTATGTCTCTCAGTGTATATACTGTGAGGTGTATGTCTCTCAGTGTATATACACTGTGAGGGGTATGTCTCTCATGTATAAAACACTGTGAGGTGTATGTCTCTCAGTGTATATACTGTGAGGGGTATGTCTCTCAAATGTATATACACTGTGAGGTGTATGTCTCTCAGTGTATATACTGTGAGGTGTATGTCTCTCAGTGTATATACACTGTGAGGTGTATGTCTCTCAGTGTATATACTGTGAGGTGTATGTCTCTCAGTGTATATACACTGTGAGGTGTATGTCTCTCAGTGTATATACACTGTGAGGGGTAGTCTCTCAGTGTATATACACTGTGAGGGTATGTCTCTCAGTGTATATACTGTGAGGTGTATGTCCTCCAGTGTTTTATACACTGTGAGGTGTAGTCTCTCAGTGTATATACTGTGAGGTGTATGTCTCTCAGTGTATATACACTGTGAGGTGTATGTCTCTCAGTGTATATACACTGTGAGGTGTATGTCTCTCAGTGTATATACACTGAGAGGTGTATGTCTCTCAGTGTATATACTGTGAGGTGTATGTCTCTCAGTGTATATACTGTGAGGTGTATGTCTCTCAGTGTATATACACTGTGAGGTGTATGTCTCTCAGTGTATATACACTGTGAGGTGTATGTCTTTTCAGTGTATATACTGTGAGGTGTATGTCTCTCAGTGTATATACACTGTGAGGTGTATGTCTCTCAGTGTATATACACTGTGAGGTGTATGTCTCTCAGTGTATATACTGTGAGGTGTATGTCTCTCAGTGTATATACACATTGAGGTGTATGTCTCTCAGTGTATATACACTGTGAGGTGTATGTCTCTCAGTGTATATACTGTGAGGTGTATGTCTCTCAGTGTATATACACTGTGAGGTGTATGTCTCTCCTGTATATACACTGTGAGGGTGTATGTCCTCAGTGTATATACACTGTGAGGTGTATGTCCTCAGTGTATATACACTGTGAGGTGTATGTCTCTCAGTGTATATACTGTGAGGTGTATGTTTTCTCAGTGTATATACACTGTGAGGTGGGATGTCTCTCAGTGTATATACTGTGAGGTGTATGTCTCTCAGTGTATATACACTGTGAGGTGTATGTCTCTCAGTGTATATACACTGTGAGGTGTATGTCTCTCAGTGTATATACTGTGAGGTGTATGTCTCTCGTGTATATACACTGTGAGGTGTATGTTTTCTCAGTGTATATACACTGTGAGGTGTATGTCTCTCAGTGTATATACTGTAGGTGTAAAGTCTCCAGTGTATATACACATTGAGGTGTATGTCTCTCAGTGTATATACACTGTGAGGTGTATGTCTCTCAGTGTATATTCTGTGAGGTGTATGTCTCTCAGTGTATATACACTGTGAGGTGTATGTCTCTCAGTGTATATACACTGTGAGGTGTATGTCTCTCAGTGTATATACACTGTGAGGTGTAAAGTCTCTCAGTGTATATCTGTGAGGGTATGTCTCTCAGTGTATATACTGTGAGGTGTATGTCTCTCAGTGTATTTCTGTGAGGTGTATGTCTCTCCCGTGTATATACTGTGAGGTGTAGTCTCTCAGTGTATATACTGTGAGGTGTATGTCTCTCAGTGTATATACTGTGAGGTGTAAGTCCCCTCAGTGTATATACTGTGAGGTGTATGTCTCTCAGTGTTTTATACTGTGAGTGTATGTCTCTCATGTATATCTGTGAGGGGTATGTCTCTCAGTGTATATACACTGTGAGGTGTAAAGTCTCTCAGTGTTTTATACACTGTGAGGTGTATGTCTCTCAGTGTATATACACGTGAGGGGTATGTTTTCTCAATATGTATACACTGTGAGGTGTATGTCTCTCAGTGTATATACACTGTGAGGTGTATGTCTCTCAGTGTATATACTGTGAGGTGTATGTCTCTCAGTGTATATACACTGTGAGGTGTATGTCTCTCAGTGTATATACACTGTGAGGTGTATGTCTCTCAATGTGTACACACTGTGAGGTGTATGTCTCTCAATGTGTATACACTGTGAGGTGTATGTCTCTCAGTGTATACACACCGTGAGGTGTATGTCTCTCAGTGTATATACACTGTGAGGTGTATGTCTCTCAGTGTATATACACTGTGAGGTGTATGTCTCTCAATGTGTACACACTGTGAGGTGTATGTCTCTCAGTGTATATACACTGTGAGGTGTATGTCTCTCAATGTGTACACACTGTGAGGTGTATGTCTCTCAGTGGGATATACACTGTGAGGTGTATGGGCTCTCAATGTGTACACACTGTGAGGTGTATGTCTCTCAGTGTATATACACTGTGAGGTGTATGTCTCTCAGTGTATATACACTGTGAGGTGTATGTCTCTCAGTGTATACACACCGTGAGGTGTATGTCTCTCAGTGTATATACACTGTGAGGTGTATGTCTCTCAATGTGTACACACTGTGAGGTGTATGTCTCTCAGTGTATACACACTGTGAGGTGTATGTCTCTCAATGTATGTATACTACTACTACAACTATTGCTACTACTACTACTACTACTACTACTACTACTACTACTACTACTACTACTACTACTGCTACTACTACTACTACTACCAATACTACTGCTACTGCTGCTACTACTGCTAATTCTACTATTACTACTACTACTACTACTACTGTTGCTATTACTATTACAACAGCTACTACTACTGCTACCACCACCCCTACTACCACTACTACAAAAACCACAATCATAAGCCCACCACCTCCATCTATCTATCTCACAACCACTCAAGTTACCTCCAGATGATCAAAGTAGGTAGACAGTCTGCTCAAGGATCCTATATAGGCAGGATCCCAGTAGAGATCCTCGGCCCTCACCTCAGGATCCTTCAGGATCCCGAAGGACCGACCATTTACAGGAGCCAGTGTTGGCAGGGCAATTGACAGCGGCATGAACAGCAGGAAAGCTGACAAAATGGAAAAAAAAATATATAGGATCAGCATCCCTATAAACCTTCTCCTTAAACTGTCAGCTCTCTTATAAAGCTAATCTATATACTGTCAGAGAGAGAGAGAGAGAGAGAGAGAGAGAGAGAGAGAGAGAGAGAGAGAGAGAGAGAGAGAGAGAGAGAGAGAGAGAGAGAGAGAGAGAGAGAGAGAGAGACTCACTCAGTGCTAAAGGATAAGATGGGTTGACGAAGAAATATCTCTCCTCCCTATCTCTTCCAGCATCTCCCAGCGTCTCCCAGCCTCTCCCGGCGTCTCCAGACGCAGACTCCAACAGCAGGAGCAGCAGCAGCAGCGTCATCTGCAGACGTAAATAAACATCAAAATTTACATCTAGAAACATTGTTGCATTTATATCTGAAATCCTCGGAACTTAGCTTGTAAATAATCTGAGGAAGAATAATGCATCTTAGCTTGTAAATAATCTGAGGAAGAATAATGCATCTTAGCTTGTAAATAATCTGAGGAAGAATAATGCATCTTAGCTTGTAAATAATCTGAGGAAGAATAATGCATCTTAGCTTGTAAATGAGCTGAGGAAGGATAATGCATCTTAGCTTGTAAATAATCTGAGGAAGAATAATGCATCTTAGCTTGTAAATGAGCTGAGGAAGGATAATGCATCTTAGCTTGTAAATGAGCTGAGGAAGGATAATGCATCTTAGCTTGTAAATGAGCTGAGGAAGGATAATGCATCTTAGCTTGTAAATGAGCTGAGGAAGGATAATGCATCTTAGCTTGTAAATGAGCTGAGGAAGGATAAAATATCTTAGCTTGTAAATTATTAACAAACAACACGAGTAGGAAGTAACGGAATTAACTGAATTAACGCTAGTAACGGAATAGGAAAGACCAACAGCCTGGGGTAGTAGCTGTGTCCACTACCTCTCTCATACCCCCACACTCCACGCCCACGTCCAAGCCCACGCCCACGCCCACGCCCACGCCCACGTCCACGCCCACGCCCACGCCCACAACGCTCTCGCTTCACACGGTGAGGGCCTGGGTTCGATTCCCAGCCAGAGTAGAAACATTGGACGAGTTTCTTTCCACCTGTTGTCTATGTTCCCCATCAGTAAAATGGGTACCTGGGTGTTAGTCGACTGGTGTGGGTCGCATCCTGGGACACTGACCTAAGGAGGCCTGGTCACAGACCGGGCCGCGGGGGCGTTGACCCCCGGAACTCTCTCCAGATAAACTCCAGATAAACCCCACACACCTGCACACACCCCTATCTACTACACGAGGGTCATTAAGACTGGTTGGTTGGTTAATGGGGTTTAAAGTCTATCTACTACACGAGGGTCATTAAGACTGGTTGGTTGGTTAATGGGGTTTAAAGTCTATCTACTACACGAGGGTCATTAAGGCTGGTTGGTTGGTTAATGGGGTTTAAAGTCTATCTACTACACGAGGGTCATTAAGGCTGGTTGGTTGGTTAATGGGGTTTAAAGTCTATCTACTACACGAGGGTCATTAAGGCTGGTTGGTTGGTTAATGGGGTTTAAAGTCTATCTACTACACGAGGGTCATTAAGGCTGCATGTCACCTGTACACCACCAGTCAAGAATACTTTAATACCTAAAATACTGATTAATGTACAGAATTTACAGCTAATGAGCTCTTAGCTTCCCTCTGCTTATTTACGAGCTCACTGTAGGTGACTAACACCCTGCTACCTATTTACTGCTAGGTTCAGAGTGTAACAGGTGCACTGAGAGTTACCCGTGCCGGGCCATGGGTTACATACCCGTAATCAAACCCAGGTTCCTACTGGATGTGAGAAGATAGTTTAGAGTCTAAGATACTTGGTGCCGCTTCCAACATTGTGTTGCAACACTACCAACACTGTTGCAACACTACCAAAACTGTGTTGTAATGCTGCCAACCCTGTATTGCACAATACCAACACTATATTGTAACACTACCAACACTGTGTTGCAGCACTACCAACATTGTGTTGCACCATACCAGCACTGTGTTGTAACACTGCCAACACTGTGTTGCAACACTACCAAAACTGTGTTGCAGCACTACCAAAACTGTGTTGCAGCACTGCCAACATTGTGCTGCAACATTGCCTTCCAGCGCTGTGTTGCAACACTACCAAAACTGTGTTGCAGCACTACCAAAACTGTGTTGCAGCACTACCAACATTGTGTTGCAACATTGCCTTCCAGCGCTGTGTTGCAACACTACCAACACTGTGTTGCAACACTACCAACACTGTGTTGCACCATACCAACGCTGTGTTATAACACTACCAACACTGTGTTGCACCATACCAGCACTGTGTTGCAGCACTGCCAACACTGTGTTGCAACACTACCAAAACTGTGTTGCACCATACCAACGCTGTGTTGCGATACTACCAACATTGTGTTGCAACACTACCAAAACTGTGTTGCAACACTACCAACACTGTGTTGCACCATACCAACGCTGTGTTGCAACACTACCAACACTGTGTTGCAGCACTACCAACACTGTGTTGCAGCACTACAAACACTGTCGCAGCACTACCAACACTGTGTTGCAACGCTACCAAAACTGTGTTGCAGCACTACCTTCCAGCACTGTGTTGCAACACTACCAACACTGTGTTGCAGCACTACCAACACTGTGCTGCAGCACTACCTTCCAGCACTGTGCTGCAACACTACCAACACTGTGTTGCAACACTACCAACACTGTGTTGCAACACTACCTTCCAGCACTGTGTTGCAACACTACCAACACTGTGTTGCAACACTACCAACACTGTGTTGCAACACTACCTTCGAGCACTGTGTCACACTCAAGACTGACACCCAGGCAGCCTCTCCCAGTCATCTCCCACAATACCCAGTCACTTTCCACAACACCCAATCATTTTCCCACACACCCAGTCATCTCCCACACACACCCAGTCATCTCCCACACACACCCAGTCATCTCCCACACACACCCAGTCATCTCCCACACACACCCAGTCATCTCCCACACACACCCAGTCATCTCCCACACACACCCAGTCATCTCCCACACACACCCAGTCATCTCCCACACACACCCAGTCATCTCCCACACACACCCAGTCATCTCCCACACACACCCAGTCCATCTCCCACACACACCCAGTCATCTCCCACACACAACCACCCATTTTCCACAACACCCAGTCATTTCCCACAATATCCAATCATTTTCCCAAAAACCCCCCAAAAATCTCCCCACACACCCAATCATCCCCCACACACCCTTTCACCCCACACACATTACTGTATCATACCACAAATCACCACAACTACAACAATACCACGATCACAATCCCACTTCCACCCCAACCAACTATACTACCAAATACCCCAAAACCCCCAAATAATAAGTGAAAAATTTTTCAACCCCTGTTAAAAAACCCAAAAGGGGAAATACTAACAAAATAAACAACAATCCAGAATTCCCCAAAACCCACCACCAAAAACTTCTTCCCGCCTCATAAAAAAGAATCTGACCCACTGATTCAATGTCCGGCTTGATGAGGGGGGTTGGTCGCTCCCTCAGTCCCCGTTCTCCACCTATTACTTAATATAAAAAATATATATTTAAAATATATATATATATATATATTATATATTTTAAATTTATATTTATAATTTAAACCCTCCCTATACCCTCTCTAAACCCCCTCTATCCCCTCCTCTATACCCCTCTCTCCCCTCTTTCCTACCTTTTTCCCAATAAACCTCAATATTTTTTACATCCCAATTATTTTCCCCCTATAATTTAACAAAACCCCTTTTTGTCTTCAATGAAAATTTATTGTATAAATATTATTTTTAAATTAGGGATAATTCATACTAATTTTGGGTGTAAAATTTTTTAATTATGTTTAAGAGGTATTTCCGTTTACTGTCTTAAAGGTTTAGTTTTGTTCGGGTTTTATTGTTGTTGTTTTTTTTTGGGTTCTTTCGTCCCTTTTGCTTTTTTTTTTTTTTTGGGTAAGTTTTTTAGGGGTTTATGTTTTTAAGAAGGTACCCTCTCTCTTCTTCCCCTCTCTCTTCTCTCTGTCTTCCCCCTCTCTTTCTCTGTTCCCTTTGTCTTCTTCTTCTTTTCTTCTTCTTCTTTCTCTCTCTCTCTCCCCCCTCTCTCCCCCCCTCTCTCTCTCTTCTCTCCTCTCTCCCCTCCTCTCTCTCTCCTCTTTTTTTTTCTTTTTCTTTTTTCCCCTTCTTTTCCCCCTGTTCCTCTTCTCCTCTCTCTCTCTCTCTTTTCTCTTTCTCTCTCTCCTCTCTCTCTCTCTCTTTCTCTCTCCTCTCCTTCTCTCTTCTCCCCTCTCTCCCTCTCTCTCTCTCTCTTCTTCTCCCCTTCTCTCTTCCCTTTCCTCCCCTTTCCCCTCTCTCTCTCTCTCTCCCCTTCTCTCTCTCTCTCTTCTCTTCTCTCTCTCTCTCTCTCCCCTTCTCTCTCCCCTCTTCTCCCTCTCCCCTCTCTCTTCTCCTTCTCTCTTCTCTTTTCCCCTCTCTCTTCTCTCTTCTCTCTCTCTCTCCTCTCCCCCTCTCTCTCTCTCTCTCTCTCTTGCCCTTCTCCCCTCTCTCCCCCTCTCTCTCTCCCCTCTGTTCCTTCCTCTCTCTCTCTCTCTCTCCCCTTCTCCCTCTCTCTCTCTCTCCTCTCTCTCTCTCTCTCTTTTTTTTTTTTTTTTTTTTTTTCCCCCTCTTTTTCCCTTTTCCTTCCTCTTTTTTCCTCTCTTTTCTCTCTCCTCCTCTCTCTCCTCTTTTCTCTTCTCTCCTCTGCCCCCTCTTTTCTTCCCTCTCTCTCTTTTTCCTCTCCCTCCCTTTTTTTTTTTTTGTCTTTTTCTTTTTTTTCTTTCTCCTTTTTTTTTTTTTTTTTTTTTTTTTTTTTTTTTTTTTTTTTCACAGGGTTTGCAGGTTAAAGGTTTTTTTTATTGACAGTTTTACTTTAGGATTTCCAAAACTTTTGGCAACTAAACGTCTGCTGTCTCTCTCTCTCCTCTCTCTCTCTCCCCTCTCTCTCTGTCTGTCTGTTCTTTTTTCTCTCTCCTTCTCTTCTCTTCTTTCTTCTCTTTTTTCCCCTCCCTTCTCTTCTCCCTCCGAAGTTTCTGGGTACAGAAAGGTGTGTTAATGGTAGTCAAAAAAAACTCCAACAGCTAAGGGCGGGCATGTGAGACATGGAGTACAGGGAATAAAACCACACACACACACCACACACAAAAAACAACAACACACACACACACACACAAAACACCCCAAAAACCACACACACACACACACACACACACACACACACACACACATAAACACACACCCA